ATCCTTTGAGAATCTCTGCAAGACGATTAAGGACATTCTCGGCGACAAGATTGAAAAGGTCGTTGTCTCGGACAGGATTGTGGACTCTCCGTGCTGTCTAGTGACAGGTGAGTATGGATGGACTGCAAATATGGAGAGGATCATGAAGGCACAGGCTCTGAGAGATAGCAGCATGAGTGGTTACATGTCGAGCAAGAAGACGATGGAGATTAATCCCGACAATGGTATCATGGAGGAGCTTAGGAAGAGAGCTGAGGCGGACAAGAACGACAAGTCTGTCAAGGATCTCGTGCTGCTGCTGTTCGAGACGGCTCTCTTGACATCTGGATTCAGTCTTGAAGAGCCCAACACGTTTGCTGCGAGGATTCACAGGATGTTGAAGTTGGGTCTGAGTATTGATGAGGACGAGAACGTGGAGGAGGATGGTGATATGCCTGCCTCCTTGGAGGAGGATGTTGCTGAAGAGAGCAAGATGGAGGAAGTTGACTAAGAGATGGGCAAAACCTCTTCTTTCTTTTTCTGGTGTCTGGTCATTTTGAATTTTAAGATTTTCAGAATGTTCTTCCAGTTGAGTCTTTAGGAGTCCTTTAAACTTCTTCGTTGGGGGTTCAGTTTGTGTCCGGATCTTTGTTTTCTATTTTGGTGCGTCTGTTTGATACTGTTTCTAGTCTTTCTTCATTATCTTTAAGGTGAATATTACCCTAAAATTCGGCTAATATTTCTCCTTGTTTCTGCGCAAGTGTTCTTTACTTTCTCTAGATTGATAATGTTTAGAATTCTTTCAAATCAACAGTGACAGGGCATTAACTCTGTTCAGACAATTAACAAGGAGCTAATGCTACCCTATCCATCCATATGTGTCACCTGATTTGAGATATCTAATGCCACCTGGTAAAAGAGACTGGAATAGGGCAGTGTTGCATACTCTGTCTCTGAAGCTCAGAGACGTAGGATTTAGGAATAGAGGCCTGGTGCTTAGATGATTACTTGTGGCACTGCTTAAGATCACAATCTGGATATCGGGTTCTTACACACTGGCCGTCTGATCACAGAGAAGATCAGGAGCTACTACCATACAACGGGCAAGTTTAGAACCCTTATTCAAACAAATCTAGACAATTAAGAGCCGTCCCTAAAGTGCTACCAGCAAATTAAGCACATAGGCATCCGTCCATGGATTCCTCG